AAATAATTCAAGTTAAAGTAGGTTTTATTTTGATTTATAGAGGTTTTCCGCAGCGGAGCGGAAGAGGATGAACAAAATTTTCGTCTTATAGAGATTTTCGAGTTGCAGAGGTTCGAGTTATCAAGGTTTGACTGTATAAATATTAATTAAAATTAATAAAATTATATTTTTGCATATACTCTGACTTTTTATTATAAGATGAAGAGTTCGGGGGTTGGGGGAGGTCTTCGTCCCTCCCACCCAGTAGGTAATATTGGCGCAGGCATGGGGGAGGTGTAGGGGAGAGGAATTCTGCTCCCGGTTATCACATAGTTAATATCTATTGTAGAAATAGAAATCAATTCTCTAACGATGTGCCGAGTTAAAGCAACACATGCTTTAATGCTTCTACTTGTGATTCTTAATACCTCTCGTCTTACTTTGCGTATAAGGCTCTTGCTGATATCTTTTCGGTATTTATTATTTTTAGTATGTTGTAGACTCATCCATTTAATAAGCCGAAGATTTAGGCCTATTTTCACAATGTATGGTTACCTAAAGGTTAAAAATTACCAAGAAGTTTATTGTTTAATAACGTTTGATTAGCACTTAACCATCAAGCCAACTCAACTGATGTACACGTAACCTTTAGTTTATTTGACTATAAGCTTATGAAAGTGTGTTTTAGTAAACTTTCAAGTTTTAGTTAACCTAGCTTTTTCATTAACCATATATTATGAAACTGAAATTTATCGTGTATTTTTTATAATTTTTTCATGACTTACTTTCATGACCATAAAGTGTGCTTAAAAGCATTTTTTAATACTGTAACTGTCATCCGTTTACTTTTAAAATATTACGCACAAATCTTCGGCCAAAATACAATACAATTCGCCGAAATAGATCAATTTAATTGAATTAGATACGCGACACTTGGACTAATTGCGCGGTATGCGGTGGCGCGGGCGGCGGCAAACGTCATGAGCAGTCACGCAGTCTTCTTAAAATAAAAAATGGCAGAGATGACCAAAATAAAGAACAGAATAAATCGAACAAAGAGACTCGCATTTGTAGATAAATTATTTTCAACATATTTTTCGCTTATAAATCACAAAAAGGGAAAAAAGTAACCAAATTTGAAAAATATGACTAAAAGTGACCTCTAAAAAAAAGTGACAAAAAGGGGAAAGTGAGTCGCTAGCAGTAATTATAAATCAAAGAGAATAATGAAAATTAAGGTAGACGAGAGTGGGCATAAAAGAGTCATGTTTTGAAAGAGCCATTTCGTATTTCAACTAAATGTAGCTAAATAAAAATTTAAAAATACTTTTATTTAATAGCAACACTGAAACTACAACATCTATAGGCATTTGACAGTCAACGCCAAAACAGCGCTGTTGTAATGAAAGGTGAAAGATTATTATGACAAAAAATGTGCATTAAATTTCTGTGTCTTTTGAATTTATTTGTAATTAACTTTTAGAAAAAGTATTTTTTAAATAAAATGCTATATACATTAACGTAACTAAAAACATAGTTACCAATTCTGTTGTTTGTTTTAATTTATCAGATATTTAACATGATCATTTGCGATGAGATTTTTGACACAATGTTATGAAAGGAGCCGATAGTCGATAAATATTGATAGTTATAAAAAACACCAGCTCTTTTATTGCCACTTTATCTAGTTCCTTTATTGCATACCTATTGTGAATAATTTTTCCAATATTTTTGCATATATAGAACAATTTATAGGTTATATTGATGTTATTAATGAATTATTATTAATGAATTTCATTCTGTTCAAATTGGATTCAAAATATCTTTAGACAATATCAAAGATAAGCTAAAGAAAAGAAAACGATTTTCTGCTGCTATCATACAGGAAGCTGTTAAAGAAATTAACGGTGGCTTTTTCAAAACCACGTTGTATCAAAAGAGCCGAATTCCCTAGTTTTAAAAAAGGTTTCTTTTATTAAATCAATCTTGTAGATAAATAAGTACTGTTATGTCGCAAAGCAATTTTATTTCATTAATATTAGATTGAATTTTTTTTTTCATATTTTGAAAAAAAAACTGGTTCTTTCATGCCCACTCTCCCCCATAATGTTAAGGTGTAAAATACACCCCGCGTGAATAATTGTGTTAAAAAGAACCACGTGAGTAATATCTAATCGCGCGTCACATAATCTTTACTGCGACCTGATAAACACTCCCTCTCATTTGCTTCCTCCCTCTTCCCGTCTTCCTCCTCTCTTTATTCACCTTCCTTCTTTTTTCCCCCTCTTTTTTCGTATACGTTCGGACCGGGGTCACCGTAAAGGTGCAAATTCATGAGACGCTCGTTTTAGGGCGAATTCACACCTTGACAGAAAAGCGGAAAACAGAAAAGCAAAAGCCAATCAGAACTCGTGTTGATAGTCAATAGTTTTTGCTTTCTGCTTTTCTTGCTACTAGTGCGAGTTCTGATTGGCTTCTGCTTTTTTGTTTTCCGCTTTTCTGTCAAGGTGTGAATTCGCCCTTAGTGTTAGAGCCATGGCACATAGAAGAACTTAAGCAGTAAAGAAATCAACATGTTGGATTTTTGGTAATCACGTGACTTTGACTTTGACGCTAGCATCAAAAAAAGAAGCTGGATTTTCTCAGCTTCAGCGTCAAAGGTTGTTGCTGTTTTGTTCTAAACATTTTAGATACGAATGATACGATTGAACTTTTAACGTTAAACGTTAAACTTGATATTGCCGCTTTTCGTGCAAGCCAAC